CGCACGGCGCGCGAGATCAATCGTGAAACGGCGCCGCATAGCTCCACGTCGCCGCTCTCATTTTTTTTTCTTCCATCACGCCTGGGTTTTTTTCCTATTTGCTGTTTCGCGTCTTTTGCGCATAACTTTCATTTACCGTGTGTACGATGCGCTTTTAATCGCGCCCGGTTTTCCGGGTCGCCCAATACAATCGGCAGACCGTCGTTTTTCTTCCGTTTAGCGAATGAAAGAAGTTACGTCAGCACAGATGTGCATGGATTTTTCTCAGAGAACAAATATGCATGTAATAATTCACAGCGTACAGTAAAGAACGTTCTTTGCGCGTTACTCGAATTACCAATTCATCGCATCCACTTTGAATTGAGTAACGAAATTGCGTGATAAATAAAGTGGGATTCAGAACGATTTGGGGACGAGGGTTGTACAAGGTGCTTTCGCGGCACTTTAGTATTCGATAATTCCCTCTGCATTTCATTACCATTCCGATTATTCTAATCGCCGCTATGTACGATTATACCTCTTCCGCATTCCCGTTCCTCCAACTCCCTCTCAATAATCGCACTAACATAACGTGCGGTCGATTGATTCGTTCCATGAACAACAGTGGAATAATCTAATTTATATGGTACGGCATACCTTGAATTCATTCCGCTTATTTCAACTCGTTTTTTACTTCGCGTAATCATTCGCGATAGAATCCGATTTATCGCAGCGTGCAAATTCTTCTTCCTCAAAATTATATTTCTTGCAACAAATAATATTTATTATACCGCGAAGTTAAATTGTTCTCTACAGAAGCGTCTTAAAGGCCGGTCCGTGTATCTTTCCTCATAAACATTCAGGTGTGTGTAGGAAGCGCGAAGAGATAGTTTCACGGGTTTTACATGGCGTACTTTGTCTGGCTGACATCGGGTTATCAGGGTCATTCTGAATTCTCGGACAACATAGTTGTATATCAAATTGATAATAGTAGTAAGAATAGCCGTAATATATTCCGCCGGATATTCTACTATTTATTCTAATTTCGTGGGAGTGATTTCATTGTCATAAATCAGTGATGTGCGTAACGCTTGAACAGCATGCGACCCTCTCATAATATTTTACGCTCGCGCCTAGCTCTCTACTAATCCACTTAAATTGCCACCCATGAAGAGCCTGCGTGAGATATTGCGCATAACTTAAACATTTAAATATGTTTAGCTCGTCAACACATTTTTTTTTTCATTTATTGTTGAATTGCATAAATAATATTGATAGCAAAAAGCATCTGGAAAACGATACTTTTCTTTTCAATCGAGTAATTGTTAATTGCTCACAAAATATCTCTAGATATTTTTGTCAAACATAAATTAAAATTACTCAAAGAGATCTGATATTAAACGTCAGCGCAATAATGACGGGATATTCCGCTTATCTCTTCCGTTATCGATTCCGTGGCAAATTACCATATTATATCGACGACGCTAAATATAAGTCTTAAAGGCAATATAAGTGCAACGATGAAACGGCGGATAGTCTTGAGACACATTAAAGTGTGTATACACGCATACCTATTAGTGCGGGCCGTACTATTAGTTGGGTGGGGAACGAGGGTTTTGGCCGTTTCGCACGATGGGGTTGGACTGCCTGGCGCCAGGTTTATCTTCCTACCCTATCGTCTCGGCCTACACCGTTATGGGGTATGTAGTGTGGGTGCCATACGGGGAGACGGTGGAGAGGAAGGTTTGTTGCCTGCTTGTCGCGCGGACGGCGCCCCTCGTCTCCTCTGCAGAAGCATTGTGTCAAGGAGAACAACTTCCCATGAGGCGCTATTATCCCGATTTATCCTAAACAGGTCTATCTGCCAGGTGTGCGCCAGGCCGGGTCACTGATCTTCCACGTAATATTTGTAGAAAGGACTGCACGGCGGAAGAAATTGGAGAAATCTTGCGCAGCCAAGTGTCAAATTTTTATAAATTTCGAACAATAAAATATCTGAATTCAATAATAAATATAAAACAGTGAAAATGTGAAATTTGATAGTTTTCGAGATTTCTGTGAAGATCAAAAAGTTGAATATTAAAAAAAATTCTAAAAATACAGCAAAATAACGAATGGTACAAATTAATTTGAATCCGCGTGCCTGCAAGCATTAATACATTTCCGCGGATAATCATACATTTCGATGTTTTCAAATGTTACAGAGAAAATTATTTTGTTTTATCATTACCGCTTTGCGGCCGTTCGTATCTCGCGGTGGCTTTTGCAAAACACTATCAATGCATGTTGTGTGTATAAGCAAGGCGCCGATAATTATTATCCCTGTCAACTCTTTGATGTTTTCCTCCTTTTTTTCCCCCCGACGGGGAAAAACATTGGCGCCACGTCGCACGCGCGTGCGGTTGTAGTTGACGGACGACGGTGGCGGGGAGACACCGTGCCGCACGGTTTGTTTGTAATTGCAATCTCTGGTTGCGACAGGGGTGGGATTCCGCGGTGGATCCGGCATGTAAAAGGTAAGTATTAATCAGCGGCGCGCGGTCGCGCGGGATGAATTGACGTGGCGGGCAAGCGGAATTAATACACCGGCAAAGCGCGCGGCTTGTGGCGCGCGTCTACACGGGTTTCAGGGCGCGGGAGTGTACGCGTCGGATTATACGATGTGGATTACGGCGGGCGGGTCGTTAAATAGCCCCGCAAACCGTAGCCGGCCCGAGAGACTCGAGATACCGAATAAAGATCCGCCGTTTACGACGGTCGAACCTTATTATCTCTGCTCGCGATGAACGCCTGTGCGAGAGATTCGCCCGGGCGCAGCCCGCGCTGGTTGTTATTGGGGATCCGAGATATTAAAGGCGCTTTGGCGCGGGGTGTATCGATCTTCTTATTCAGCCGCTCTCCCCACGTCATACTTAAATACAATATTTCGGCTGGCGCGTAATCCTCTTACAAAAGTATCCCCGCCATGCGGAAGCCGATGCAGCGGCCGCTGTTTTGTCCCTTATTGTAAACGATTATTTGTACGCGCGGATAATTATGTATCCGCTTTCGAAGGGGGAAGGGAATTGTAGGGAGACGACGCACGGTTTGTACAGAACATCTCATTGTCAGTGAGCGTGTAATCCTCTCGCGCGAGTCGAGTGACTGTCACTCGACTGTACTAATGAGGCATCAATAAGTACTGTTCTTGCATCCGTATAATACGACCATATTTCGTGCATTCTTTACACGCGTACATGAAAACGTGTGAATACCTAAGCAAATTTTTCGTCCTACGAATTGATTTAGCAATTTAGAGCCGGTTTAATCACAGCAAGACTTTTTTTTATTGGAAATGTAAAGACTTCTTTTGTAACTTCTAACATTTTAAATATCCTCCGTCGAGTTAACGTCATTCGTACAATTCAATTAACATCCGTGCGATTTGTTCGCGTAGTAATCAGAGCGAAAATAAAGTGTGAGAGAAAAAAATAAATTAAGTCGTTTTAAGGGCAAGCCGTTCATCCGTGAATACGCGTTCGTAATAACGGCTACATCTACGACGTCATTTTATTTTCTGACGCCGGTCGCGCCAGCATTGGTCGACGGTACTTCATTAGCAATTAATTCGACACGACCGATCGATTAACAAAACCAATTTAATCGGCACTCCGAGAGCGCGGATGACCAGTTCTATTAATTGGCGGAATAATCGGATCACAAGAGATTGCCGGATAACGGTCTGCTCGCAACGTATTATTGTCTGTCAAATCGATATCTTACTACTGCTGAATAATAATCTTTAATTTAAAACAAAGCGCGCACACGCGCGCTGAGATATTTAAGTAAAAAAATTATAAAGTGAAAAATTCTTGCTGAAAAGAAATTGGCTTCGTTAATATTTGATTCGATCCGCGCATACTTTTCGATGAGATAGATTCAGCAATTAACTTGATCAGCAGTCATCTAACGAAACGAACGCTAATATTAATCACGATTAAAGATAGATGATCTTAATAAATCGCTCGATAAGCAATCTTACGTGCCTTTCTATATTGACTATCGACTTTAATTATAGTACAGCAAGAAAATAAATTCATTTACAAGGACAGGGCGCATTTCGCCGTTGATAATAATCGTTGCGCAAATAATTGATTATTCGGTTCGCAAGTGCTTGCATCATTTATTGGTAACGAGAACGATAAAGGCTTCCCCCGTCGCGCAGATCCAGTCTGAAGGGAAACGACTGTACTACAGTTATTAATTACGCGGACGTGGTTGTAAATAATTCCCATTGGGCCGGTCGATCGTTTTGAATTGCAAGAATGGCGCGCTTCGGTATTATAATACATTATCATAGACGGTATTGACGAGAGCGAGTCGTCTGCGGATTACAGCCGCACCGCTGCCAAGTTTAATTAAAGCAATGATCTAGCTCGTCCGACAAGCAATTCGTTCCAATTGCATCATTACGCTGGACATAACAAACATATTGCTCTATTTAATTGAGACGCGTACTAGTTTTAGAGACGGATACATCGACGCCATTTCACATCGCATTACTAAATCGTGATAGAAATCACATCAACGCTCTTTAATCAATTACAGAGTAAGCTAATGTTCTTTGCAAAAGTGACACATTTCAGACTGATCTTATTTGATTGAAGTTGGTATTTTTACACAACTACAACCTTTAACCTAATAAATCTGATGAATAAAAAAATAAAATAAATCAATTTCGTTCTTTTTTTTAAAGAGTACAGTTGCAAAGAGGTCGAGAGCTTATTTTGGTATCGTGTTGCGCGTGTTTCTTCTAAAACCAAACCGCTAATTTTATCGTTCTTGATCTCGATGTTATTTTTTCTCGTTGAGTTTTCAAAATATCGCGGTGTCCGTCATCTTTTAGCATCTCGAGAGATGCAAATTTGATGAGATCATAATAGTTTGGCGAGAGCTAAGAAGCACTGACGGACGGGGGGTGAATTTACATGTCCGCGAGATAGTTCGTGCAGAAATGATGAGGAGCCGGAGCGGGAACTTACCGTAGAACCAGCACTGCTTTTCGCCGAAGCGGGGCCTCAAGAACGTGTACTGCGGCTGAGGCGGGAGATGGTCCAGGAGGGCCGCCAGCCCGGCAACCAGGAGGGGCCCACCCCAGGCGTAACAAGCGTAAACTCTCAGTCTGAGAGTCTCCTGACCTTTCTCCAGGCTCACCGGTCTCAAATCCCTGAAAGCAAAAAAAAAGCCAAGGGTTCGATTAGTGCAACAATTCCGTGGAGAATGCACAGCAATAAGAAATAAAATATCGGGACGGCCGTGAAATGTTTTCTTTCTTCGTCCTTTTTTTTGTAAAGAACGAAGGGCTGAGAGCCATTCGAGAGATCGTTTTTGATGAACAAAAAATAGAAAGTGGTACACAGATAATAATAGACTATAACAATTATTTTGCGAAGAAGCAGTAAATGTAGGAAATAATATTGGTATTATCGCATCGCCATCGATCGATCTTCGTTGTTATTAAAATAAATGTGATAATAGGACGCGTTCGCTCCTAACCGACTAAATCGTAAAGCTTTGTCATTGTCTGGCTAGTTTAACGTCGCTATAACGACACTCGGCAGGGAGATGAACGTGGGGGCTTAGCACTTTGAGGGGTGTACTCGTAAATCGTATCCTATCGGTATAGCAACGTTACCATGAACGGTATAATGTAGCAAATCTCAACTACCCTATCTCGACATAGCGTATCGTAAAAAGTAGACACGAAAAAGAAAAGTAGCTTGAAATACATATTATAGATAAAGAATATGAATTCAAAGGCAGATAAATTTTTACTAAATATCGCACCGATCTGAAACTGAAATCGTGCTGCAATGTTATCAAGTATAATACAAAATACGCTCACAATTAAATCGCTCGTCACAACTTTCTCTTAAAACTGTAATTCATGTTTTGCTGAAAATATACATTAAAAAATAAATAAACACAATATAGCACATATCTTAAAAATGTACTTCAGATTTAAGGAATATGCGCTTTGCAATTTATTTTCTTTTTCTGTAGGGACAGCACACTTTTTTTCTCTACAGTAAACAAATTTTATAATGTGCCCTCTTGTTAGCGTAATTCTTTTAATGTAGGTTTAATTTTATATAATTCGCAATTCACGTAGAGGATAAAAATGCAGTTACATTAGCGAAAGCTTTGTAACTAGACGATATGAGCTGGCGCAGACAGAAATTTTCATTTAAATATTCTCTTTGTACACCCAGTCTGAATCAACCCGTTATATAAATTTTTGCTGAAGTTAATCCGGACGCAGGTGCGTGTCGCAACGAGTGTACTGTTGAAAAGTAAAAACTTGAACAATTTTTGGGGATTCGGTCTTGGTTTTGCGCGTCAGATAATTTTGCAGCTCAGAGGTAACAAAAAAATCTGTGCGCAACGTTATAATAATATAATTAACGTTAGATATTATTACGCATCGTATTTATTTACGTTTGTTAACCGCGCGATGTTGTTATCATATAATATTATAAATAATAGGATTTGTAATTATGCCGAAAGATATCATGATAGTCTCACGTATCGTTGTGAATATTAATTCAAACTCGCATATAACAATTCATAATTACAATGTATTATTATGTGACGCGCATTTCTCTATGAAATGCATTTTAAATGAAAAATTTACATGTATCGCGGATATGCCGCTTCTTTTATCTAGGAATATTTTGCAGTTGATTTTTCTCAACAAAAAACAACCCCGCATTAATAGTTTCAAAGTATAAGCGATTACTTGAGTGGAAACTTAATTTAAAATGCAATTACGAAGATGTTGAAAGATAAACAGCGGAAGATGGTAGTTTTCATTTAAGTTTCCGTTAAGAAAAAATTGCATCCGGATTGATGAAAGCAACCGGGGATGAAAGGAAGTGATGATAGTTCACGGGTAGCTTATTTGATTAAGTTTCACAGAGCACTCGCGGAAGTTGCTGTTCCCTTCTCAGCCGTGTTTCGGTGCAATGAAGACATCTAACGTACGGAAAATCTACGTGAGTGCATTCCGCCGGGAAGGAGAGGAATGGCGGGTGGATGGGCGGGTGGATGGGTGGGTGGTTATCTCAAGATACTAATTTCGTAGTGCCTACGCCTCATTTCCGGCGTCGCTAATTAAGCGTCCACTGCCGGTATGCGTCGTCCTTCCCTCTGTCTCTCTCTCTCTTTCTCATCCTATTCGCTCTTCTGCTTAGTTTCGGTCGCTGATCTCTGTAAGTGCGAAAGAGAGCTGCGTAGAGGAAGAGAAACGGCGAAACGCGCGCGCGGGAGACCGCGACGTCTCGCTTCGACGTCGGCACGGCGGCGCCACGATAATTTTCCACCCTGGCCCCCGGGTTTTCCCGGTGGAAACGGAGCCGGAGGCATTCCAGTCCGGTACAGGATTCGCGGAAGAAGGGGAGGACGACGTTAAATATCGTCGCGGTCGAGGAAATTAGCGAACTGTTAGGTTCGTCGCGGGAGCGCGGCGGCGGTGGCCGCACGCACGCGTGGATGCGCGTTCGTCGTTGCGAACCGGGCGTTGCTTGTGCGTGAGCGAGCGAGCGAGTTGGCGGTTTAACCGAGAATGGGGTCTCCGATGCGAAGAGGTAATTATGCATGTCCCGCGACGAGGGGGATTTACCCGTCCAACTTTCTTTCCTGCTCCCGATACGCATGAAGATCGTTGAGCGCGCGCGGCGGAGGTACAAGCTCTACTCTTGCGACATAATGAATCCTGGGAGAGATGCATCCTCATTTAGACGGAAAACGATGTACTTTCAGAGAGCCCGGCGTTGTGCAATTGTATCTCGTGCCTGGTCGGCGAAAGAGTCCTGGGGCGCACGCATGGAGGTCGTAAAGCCGAGATAACGAAGTCCTCGGTTATTAAATAGACGTCAGGTAGCCATTGTTAATCTTTTGATCCTCCGTAACAGCTATTGCGGGGAGTCCATATGAGGGTCTTATTACGGTCTTTTTTTTTCCCCCTCTCGTGTATTGCTTCCTCTTCGTAATACGGAAGCAGACGACAGCCAAGACGTAATAACACTGTCGTGCGGTTTATTGTAGTGCGAATACTTCGCCGCAGCCGTAGGTCTCATTTATTTTAAACTCATCAGTAATTGCGAGGTTTCACGATATGTCAGCTCAACACAATAGAAGATGATTAAAGTGGTAAAGTCACATGAAAATGATGTTATAATCGTGTAATTTTATTATAAATTCAGTGAATAATACTTGCAAATTTTTTCTGTTCCTTGCATATTACACAGATTGACGTGCACAACTGGAAAGTGCTTTAATCTTCTTCACTTCTCGAGCAGCTCACTTTTAGATAGACAGATCGCCGCAAGGATGAAGCGCGAGGGAGCGAAACATTTATGAATACGCAAACAAGGCAGATCGCTGACAAGTAGATTAGTTCGTTAGAATTTTCGCTCGCGCGGCTCTCGTGTTCGAAGCTCGTATTTTATCCCCCTCCCTCCTCTCACGCCCGCTATCTTTTCAAGCGCCGGGACTCTAAACGGCGCAGACGTAATGCCGGCGTACTGTCTCGCGACCGTAGAAGCTAAGAGCTCTATATTTATCTCCCCGATATGGTAATTATACGGACGGCAATTAGCGGCGGTGTCAACCGTTAGAGGTACGCGCCAAACTCCGACGGTGTCTACGTGGAGAACGTATAACGGGAGAGCTCGTTACGTGGAAACAAGATGGACACAAAGATATTATTTATTACGTTGACATAATACGTTAGCGCAGAAAATAATCGCTAAGCACGTCGCTTTATCAGTGCGTGCTGAAAGTGACTATGAGAAGGTAAAATGGATAGATAATTATAATGAATAAAAATCCTGATTATGATTGAAAGCGGGAATATTTTCATTTTAAACATCGCAAAATGAAATAACTATTATAAAATTAACTACTTTATTAAAAAAACAATTCAATATTTAAACTTTCTATTGACCGAATATTTTACTCATTTTTAGATCTTCGATTAAATAGATGTGAAAGATTTGACGTTCTTTGGTTTTTATCTACAATATAAACATATTCAAATAATTTGCATTTTACTCGCATCCACAGTTGGGCCGTCTGTGTTGGCGGCCGAATCTTATTACAAACAGAGCAGAATATGCTGGAAACTTTGCTTAAGGTACATCAAAAATGATTATCGACAACACTCGAGAGTGTCTCGTCAAGCATCCCTAAATTCCTTGGAAAAACGATAGTGGCGGAACGAACTTTGTCATTCGAGACGTATGGAAAGTAAGTTACACTTTATTGAAAAGTTTCGAGAGCTCTTAAGCGCGCGGAAACTTCTCGTCGAGACGCGAAAATGTTCAACTCGCCAGATCCTTCACCCTTCATCCACTGTCGATCGAGCGTCCGTCTATCCTTTGTTCCCCCATCATCCCCCCCCACCCCCCGATCTGTTTATGCGTCCTCCTAATCCGAACATCAATCGATCTATTCTTGTATACGTTTATCAACTACCTATTTATCAACGCCCCCGTGATACCGGCGGTATGTCTTATTCTAGCATAGATCGAGAAACAGTACCGGCAAATGGACTATAAATTACGCCGACTTGCAGTAATTACCTAATACACATGAGTAATTCATGCAAATTTATGCAAATTCCTTGTAAACATATCCAATCTCTTGATCCAGGTCACGTTATGACAGTATTGATCAAAGTAGTGAGGTAAATTTTGCATATTTCATGCACTTCAATGCAAGAGTTAATTAAAAATAACGTTATAAAATAATTGAGTTAATTTCTCGATCGTAATATTTTGCCGTCGTTATTAAATCTCATTACTTTTAAATTCGCAATAAATAATATAATTCGCAGAAATTAAATAACATAATAATAAATTCACGATATTCTAACCTGATTATATAATAACAAATTTGCAAAATTATTTAATATAATTCACAGAAATAACACATTTTTCATTTTCATTTCATTTTGTGTATCATTTTTCATTGTGAATTATTAGTGCCATATACATTTGTAGCTCGTTTCCTCGCAACAATTAATTTCCTAAATCTAAATTACATTACACTAACAAAAATAGTCGTAATGGATGTGTTTTCACTTGCGTAATTACGATTTTAATCGTAGGATCTTGAAAATACTGCACGAGCATTTAAGGTTCATTTAGCTGGTGCGAACAATTT